ACCCATCACTCTTGACTGTAACCCATCACTCTTGTCTGTAACCCAACACCTTTGACTGTAACCCATCACTCTTGACTGTAACCCATCACTCTTGACTGTACCCATCACACTTGACTGTAACCCATCACACTTGTCTATAACCCATCACTCTTGACTGTAACCCATCACTCTTGACTGTAACCCATCACTCTTGACTGTAACCCATCACTATTCACCGTAACCCATCACCCATGACTGTAACCCATCACTTTTGACTGTTACCAATCACCCTTGACTGTACCCATCACCCTTGACTATAACCCATCACACTTGTCTATAACCCATCACCCATGACTATAACCCATCACTCTTGACTATAACCCATCACTCTTGACTGTAACCCATCACTCTTGACTGTAACCCATCACTCTTGACTGTAACCCATCACTCTTGTCTGTAACCCATCACTCTTGACTGTAACCCATCACTCTTGTCTGTAACCCAACACCTTTGACTGTAACCCATCACTCTTGATTGTAACCCATCACTCTTGACTGTACCCATCACACTTGACTGTAACCCATCACACTTGTCTATAACCCATCACTCTTGACTGTAACCCATCACTCATGACTGTACCCATCACACTTGACTGTAACCCATCACACTTGTCTATAACCCATCACTCTTGACTGTAACCCATCACTCTTGACTGTAACCCATCACTCTTGACCGTACCCATCACTCTTGACTGTAACCCATCACTATTGACTGTAACCCATCACTGTAAGCCATCACCCTTGACTATAACCCATAACTCCTTACTGTAATCATTTACCCCGGACTGTAACCCATCACTCTTGACTGTAACCCATCACTCTTGACCGTACCCATCACTCTTGACTGTAACCCATCACTATTGACTGTAACCCATCACTGTAAGCCATCACCCTTGACTATAACCCATAACTCCTTACTGTAACCATTTACCCCGGACTGTAACCCATTACCCCTTTCAATTATATTAAACTACTCACACTATCTGTATCACCATCCCTTTTGTCAACCTATCCCTGTTGTTAACCCCTCCCTCTACAGATAACCCTTTTGTTAACCCCTCCCTCTACAGAAAACTCTTTCGTTAACCCGTCCCTCAATAGAAAACTGTTTTGTTAGCCCCTCCCTCTACAGATTACCCTTTCGTTAAGCTGTCCCTCTATAGAAAACTGTTTTGTTAGCCCCTCCCTCTACAGATTACCCTTTCGTTAAGCTGTCCCTCTATAGATAACTGTTTTGTTAGCCCCTCCCTCTACAGATTACCCTTTCGTGAACCCATCCCTCTAAAGATAACAATTTTGTTCACCCCTCCTACAGATAACCCTTTTGTTAACCCCTGCGTCTACTGATAACCCTTTTGTTAACCCCTCCGTCTACTGATAACCCTTTTGTCAACAATCCTCTACAGATAATTCTTTTGCCTCATTGTATATTTTTTTCACTCCGAACAACACATCTTTTCTATCTTGTATGAATTTCCTTTTTATTTTGTTATCAACCTATCAAATTTCTATAAACTAATCTAACTTCCTAAAACCTGTGTACCAAGTCATATCAAATCACCCACTGCTGCTTATTCTTAGTTCTTTCTCCTTCTGTTTCTCACTTTCACTTCTGAAGAAACCAAAAAAAAAAATTGTGAGAAGTGAACAAAATTTAAGATACATCTGGTTTTCAAAAGAATATTTTACAATGTATTCACTTGTGAAAAAAGGATAAAAGATGATATTTTTAATTTGAAAATTTTCTGTTTTAAAACTATTTTTAAAACAAAATACAAGAGACCCCATAGGCTTGTATCACTCACCTGTTTACTTCATCTGTATATGTTGTTACAATTATCTGTTAATTCAACTACTTTCACTACCCCGAAATTTTCATGTACATTTTATACCAAGTTTTAATATTCTATCACATAACTTTATAACATCCATTACACAAAAATTGTTAATACACACAAGTAATATGACCTAGACAAGCTTGATTGGCTGAAGGTTTCCATTGTGACATCATAGCTTCATGATGTCATATACATTGTGATGTCATAAAAGAAAGAAATATTGGGTGGGAATATAGCTGGAATTATATTTGTTTCGTTCTAATTAAATGCTGTTTTTACAAATGTTTATAAAAGTATCAAATTTATGTAACAAAAGATATCTCACATTCATTTCCATTTCATGAGATTTATGAAACCAATCATGATTTTTTCATTTTACCTTATCAGAGACTCTGTAAAATTGGAAAATTCTCAGGCTAGTAACATGGATCTATATGAATGGAAACTGGTGTAAACTCCCTCAGTTGATGTCTTGGTAAATACACAATAAACACTGAAGGACTATATCTACTTGGTACAACTGCACATTTGTAATTCACCAAATTGAATCTGTTCGAGTTCCAGTTATTGTTTCTTTAATGATGCATGTCTTCGTCCACTTAATATTCTTGTGCTTTCTGCAAGGCCACGTGTATGTGTGGTACCGATACAAAAAAACAAATACTGAAAACATGATGCTGCTATCCCAGGTCTGTAAAATTAGTGCATATACACTTATATCTACAGCAGAGATGTGATTCAGGATACAAACCAAAGGAGAAAATTTAAGTGAAAATGTGGGAATATACCCAACTTGTTTCAGAAAAATTCATTTGTTCATCAAATTTCATAAAAATAGCAATAAAGAGGAAAAAATGATACTAAATGGGGAAAAAATTAATCACTTTTACAGGTGAGAATGTACCATCATAGAACTTTCAACGGTAGCGTATAGTCCTTCAGGGTCTCAAGTTCATAGGATGGCTGACATCAGATATTATCAAAACCATTCAACACTGGTAGCTGAAAGGAAAGACTTCAGAGGACTGTACATGGATGGTTGTATATCTAATGTTCATGAAAATTACTGAATTTATTCATCAATAAGCCCATGCCTGTAATAAGCCCACCTAAATTTTATTGAAGTTTCAGTAGTAATGTTATATCATTGTCCTATAATAAGCCCAGCCAAATTTATTGAAGTTTCAGTAGTAATGTTATATCATTGTCCTATAATAAGCCCAGCCAAATTTATTAAAGTTTCAGTAGTAATGCTAGATCATTGTCCTATAATAAGCCCAGCCAAATTTATTAAAGTTTCAGTAGTAATGCTAGATCATTGTCCTGAAATAAGCCCACCCAAATTTATTGAAGTTTCAGTAGTAATGCTAGATCATTGTCCTATAATAAGCCCAGCCAAATTTATTGAAGTTTCAGTAGTAATGTTATATCATTGTCCTATAATAAGCCTGACTTTTGACATTGAGTCAGAGTTTGTGTGTTAATGCCCTATATGTATTACAGGATACATACAGTAGTGAAATCTTACTTTGTCTAGGAAATTTGAAATTGGAATTCGATCAATAAGTGATGTTCTTTTTTGACTTCAAGCATGTGACTGTGTCATGACTATAAAATACATGTGTAATGCCTAACAACAAGGCATTAAAACTTCATACACACATATTTCATAAATTAACAAGGCATTCCAACCGATACAAATTCTGTCACAGTTCAACCATGACAGATGTGTGATAAAAGATAGTCAGAAATATCATCTTTCTTAGAATTTGAGATAAACACATCTATTCACAAACTTGTTTACATGTAACCATTAAGTATTTCAAGTGATATGCCAAGATCTTATAGCAATTTTCTCAAAATTGACCAAAAAATATATTTTTATAATAAAACTTAAAATATCACTCAAAAGAATTTGGAATGTATACAATGTACAAAAAATTTTTACTTAAATTTTTTTTTTAACACAGGAAGTTCAAATGATCTTCTTTACCAAATTGAGATGTTTATTCTAAATATTGTAATATACAACAGCAAGCCATGGAATGAATGTGGAACTACTGAACCGGCTTGATACGGAGTTTATGTAATCACTTAAACCATACCCTATTGTACTTTCATACGCGTGCCTGCTAAGCTATTTCACACGACATATTCTATGAAAGTCCGCTAAACACAAATTCTATTTTGCAGCATTCCTATTTTCAGAGACCTTGCATAATGAAATCTTGGCAATACTCTGCTAAAGATGTTGGGTTGAAGTTTCCACAATGTCATCTAATTACATGTCAATTTTAGAAACAAAAATAGACTTACACTTTGTAACCAACAGAGCCTAGTGTAAAACTTTAAAATTCAAATATGTTGACAACACCAATACCGCTGAGAAGGTAACACCTTAGCTTGGCTTTCAATAGCAGATATTTATATAATTAGGGGTAATACTTAAGTATGCTATTTATTTTAGACCTTGGTCTGTATAATTTTGATTTGTATATTGCTCATTTCAAATGAGTTTCAATGTAGATCTACATTTGTATGTGTTTAATACCTCATAAAGACATTCATACAAAACTATGTATGTGCCCTCCTGACTTCATTACAAAAAGTGCCAGGAACTTTGTGGTGAAAATGGACAATAAACACCACCTTTGTAAGGGATTATTAGGGGGAATGACTGAACACTCAACAGGACCTGCCCAATGATGTTGTTTACCTAAGACACTGAGCAGTAGACCTAGGCTTTCTGAGATAACAGAAGAATTTCCAAATTAAATTTGATGAGACAGACGACAGCCATTGCACCATCACACATGCTCACAGGCATTTTGTCAATCTTTTTGTCTTGAAACATGGCATTTCTAAAGCTCTCACAGTACATTTAAATAGCAGGATGATGCACTCCTTGATATAAACTTTCTTCTTTTAATTTGATTTTCCCATTAAATGAATTGTATGTACCATCTGTTGAAGAGCTTCTTATTTCCAAGATTTACTGGAGAGCTTTCTCGAGAATTCAGAGATCTACTTTCTCTGTATACATTTCAGGGAAAGTAAGTATATTACGTCCTTTGTAAGTCACAGACATTGTAAAAACAATAAAAAGTAAAGAAAAAGACAGATGTTTAAATTCTGCGTTTTTCATGCATTTTATTTGTTGATGAGGACAAACATCATCCAAGACTGGTGTACATAAGTACAGTAAAGCAGATAGCTAGCTCGGGCGTGTACACCTTACTGTAACCCAGTATCAAATATCACAACACGCTTCAGTACATTTTGTAGTACAGCACAGATAAACAACATACTGTCAGATCTTCCTTTCATTCTGTCTGGCAATCCACACTCCCTGGCAATCATGTATGGTATACTCTCTTTCTCCCGTCTTTAACAGTCTAACATGTTCTAGGTTAAAACAATTATTCTATCAAATGTCTATCTGATGTGCCCTCTGACCTTGCATTGGTAATTAAGGTCAATTAAAGTTAAGTAGACATATGGATGGATAGACTGATTCAAGATAGGAATCAACCAATCACAAGGCCCGTTACAAATGCATCAACAAATCACTAGGCTAGTAACATACAAAAATAATCTCCATATGGTACAGTTTGGACCCTGTGTATTGTGGGTAGGTACCAGGTATTAATCAAACAGGGCACTCTCTTAACAAGAAACACTGAACATATTGCCTTGCTGCACAAATGTCATTAGCACAGTTCATATATTCAGTACTTTAAGGTACTGTGCACATAATTAAAAAAGTTTGTATTGTTTCATTAATTAAAAAGATTATTAAAACAGAAAAACAGAAACAGTTCATGTTAGCAATAACAATTGACAAATCTTCTGAAAAAACGAATCTCATCCGTAACAACATCAACAACACAACAAATTATCACAATTAGGATTAATAACATTCTGAAGCACTACGTTAACAGGATCAATTGAGTGGACAGCATCGTTGCGAAAGTTGTGCGTACACCTAAAAATTCTGAACCCTTCTTACTCATCACTCACATGTACTATCCTTAATATCTAACTGCTTTACTGTACAATAATAATATTCAGTCTTTAACAAACAAGAGAGATAACTCTATAAAGTCCGAGACAAGTTACAAAACACAAGAGGCAACTGTCTAGCTTTCAACGAGTTATTGTACATGTCATGTCCGATCAGGTCAAGAAATGGTAACTGGCAAATTCAGGAGCCCGACTCACAACACCCCCCACATACATAGCAGGTGATCGGTCAAGCTAAAAGGTTACAATTTTTTTCATTTTTTTTTTTTTATATATTTTTATATATATACATTTTTTTTCTATTTTTTTGTCCTTGACTTATTCCTCAAATGAGAAAAAAATTCAAGATTTTTTTTGTAACGTTTTTTGGTTGTTGAAGCCCATTTTTAAAACTTTTTTTTATACATTTTTTATCACATATACACAAATAACACATTCTGGACATACACTTATAATACACAAAATCAGCATATACACTTACCAGCATATATACTCGCATAACAAATTCCAACAAAAAAAAAAACACAAAAATTTCAATTTTGTATACAAAACAAATAATGTACACAAATTTCTTCACTCATAATTCCATCCGGTAATACACAACATGTGTGTATGTAAGTATCAGTATCGACTATCATAACCCTATAATAAAAAATTAAACCAGGGGATAGTTTCTTAGTAGTTTCAACTCCACAACTTGCAAATTCGGTGTACTGACGAGACGCTATTACTGAGGCATGTCTCTATTCTCATAACTTGTTAAACGTTTCGACTTTTACGTCTCGCTCACAAACAAATTTGTCAACTCCTTGTATCACAGATCATTGTTTTTATCAACTTTGGGTACCACACTGGTTTATACTAAAGTATAGTTGCCCTTGCAGTGGGTACCTTTCAGTTCAAACATTTGGGAGGGGAATAGGAAAATGGGGCTAAATATACAACTATTTACAATTGATGAAGTGACAGAACCTTTTCTTGCATTCAAAAAAAAAAAAAAAAAAGTTAAAGTTTTAAAATAATTAAAATCTCGAATGGCTAACATTCTATAATTGCACTCTGTGACCTCACATTCCATTTCTAGAAATCTTCCCAGCTCCCCAGTAAGATAAACCAGGCAAAAGCAACCAGCTGCTGGATTTATGATGAACATGAACAAAAACATATTGATACATGCTTGTATATTGGTTCACACATTGCTTTGATCACAAAATGTGAACCACGCAAATATCAATTTTTGTGAAAATCAAACAGTTATGCCTACCCTTTTCAGAAGAAAACAAATTGAATGATGCATTTTTTTTTCAATGGAATATAACTTTTGGGGGAATTTCACAAAATTTGATAAATTACAATGATTTAATACTTGTGAACAAATGTATAGCTGTCATGGATAGTGGAATATGAGTCAGACATTTGAAGATTTTTCCAATAGGTAAAACCAGGATCCAACTCTAGTCAACACCCTTCAAAGTACATGGCTACCATATTTAAGGTACTGCTTTGCAGCGCATAACATAGCTAGCTGTAATATTACCCCATAGGGTGCCCCCTTCAATTGTACTGCTCTGAAATACCTGTGAACACCCATATTGGTGCCCCAATCTCTTCAGTCATTGATGCAGCATTAGGGAGAACCATCAACTATGCAGTGCCCATATTAATTAATGCCAAGAGGCTACACAAGGGGAAACTCACCTAATTAGCACTGATGATAGTCAAGATTATCCCAAGTGGTGTCCTTTCAGTAATGTAGTGGGAGGCCTTAGAGGGGTGGCTTATATATGAGGGGACTGCGACGTATGCTACAGCATCAAATGCCCTGCATGCTATATAGTCTACGAGATATTGCAAGAAAATTCAACTTTACACCCAAATCTGCTACATTATATTCCAAGCACTAATTAAACCCTTCAGATACTTACAGGACAAGGGTGATTGACAAATCTTTTAAGTCCTTTTTATACACATGTATGTGTGAATGACATTGCAATATTCAAAGCAGGTAAAATTTTACATTGTTTCACCACTGTTATTTAAATACTTGTTTTAAACTCATGCTACGTTTTAAACTATGCATTATACATATTTTTTTGGTTTTTTGTAAAAATATATCTACATTGGCAATTGAATCATACACACCAAGACCATGTTTGTATTCTATTTAACTGTACATTATATTACAAACAAAACCAAGTGGCATCCTTCATATCAGCCATGATAGAGATTGAACACTGGTGATATTGATCTCTGTACTACTGACTATTACAGTAAATGGTCAATTTAGTCTCGCATTAATCATTATTTGGTTAGATATTTTCCTGATTTTTTCTTTTTATATATAAACATAAATTTTCTGCTACTGATGATGATAAAATACGCTAATATCTGAACTCCTCTGATAGATGTGAGATAACAATGTCTATATAGAATGTATCAAGAATGTTGTTAATTACCATTCTTTAATCACTGTCTGGAGAACTTGGAGCATAGCTAGACACAGACCCATCCAAGTCGTGTTTCCTAGTAGATTTGCTTACAGCCAAGCTACATTTCACCCTGAGAAACTCGTACTGTTGTTTATATAAATCCCTCTCCCTTGTCAAGTTTGACAGCTGCCTCTGAAGTTGTTTCAATTCTTTTTCAAGAGAGCGGTTAGTGACTTCTAAGTCCTGTCTCTGCTGCATGCGTTTAGAACGGCAATTTTGAGCATAACCACGATTTTTCAGCGTTCTTCTTTTCTGTTTTAATTTCACAACATCATCCTTTGGTAGCCCCTGAAGTCGACGGTTCAGCTCTCTCACAGGCAAAGTAACCAGTTCTTCATCGTCCATTTTCTTCTTGCTATTACTGCTTCTGCTACGTTTGAGGGTCGGGACCTTAGTTGTGAGGTTGGCCTGGGCCGGAGGAGAACTAGGGAGAGATTCCTTGCCAGCCTCGGCCCCAGATACCAAGTATTTGGTGAAATTGTTCACGAACTCCGGGCTGCTTGAAATCAATACATCAACTGCCTCGGAGACCCCCTCCATGCTTGCCGAGTTGAAAGATACACTCTGGGTGAGCCACCCAATGTCATCGTACAGGTTTTTGGACTCCGTGGGACTAGGAGGAACGCTGCTACAACTACTGTTGCTGAAACAACTTGGGGACTGGGGCACACTACATATGGAGGGTGCGGTCGAGCCGGCCTCCGATGCCGTGACCGGGGATTTCGCTCCGCCATTGCAACAATCACTGAAGTCGAGCCGGTCAAGTGTTTCCTGTTTAATTACTGCCGAACGTTCGACAAACTGGTCCAAGTCAAAGTCATTTATACAATCATTCACCATGAGCGGGTCGGCCTCCATTTTGTGTGTCAGCTGGCAGGTTTAGGTGCTCCTCGTGTTGACTAGCTCGCCAACAAACTAGGTCAGCTGTCGACCGGTCTACGTGGTACACAACCCAACTGCGGAGGGTTTTACTGCGACAAGTCCACTCCTCACTCAAGATTTTCACAGATTTATACGTCCATGGAATTATTTCGTCCAAAATCAATGTCTTATGGTGATGATTGCTACAACGATTTTGGTTTCCTGGTAAAAATCGCCGGTGGCCAAGGGCACAACCACCATACGACTTTACACGGCTTACCAGATGGGGAGACAGGCCAACAACGAGCCGACAGGGGAATCCCGGTTGGTTATATACCCCCTGTGACGTAGAACACAGGCAAAATAAATTGCTGCAGCAATTGACCAATCGTTGCAGAGAGTTTGTTCTATTTTTAGATCCTTGCGTATTCTCCTCGTCATATGGAACGAGTCTTAGTCTTTCAAGCGTTTGCATTGGAAGCAGCACATACCGTATTGTGACGGGCTTTTGAACGATCCGCTAGTCTTTAAATATCAATGGGTTGTGCAATACTTAACCTGTACAAACATGTTCGAACGAAATGAAGAAAAAAACGAGATTCTGAGGGATGGTTAGAATTGTTACTGTTCGGAATTTAAAAGATTTGAAAAAATACAAAACGTGTACGAACTGTCATTTTGTTCTATTTAACTGTCTTTCGATCTTTTTTGTGAAAGTAACTTGCTAAGATCCAATATAGATCCTCAAGTCTTAGATTACATAGCGCGAACTTAAACAGATATGTAGACTATAAATTCGCGAGTATGGACTGTATATCTAATTTAAAGCTGAGAAATAATATGTAATGTCTAATGTCATGAACTGGTCCTAACATATGTGATTTCCCTCAAAGAACATGTATTATTAGCAAAACAAAAGCTCTTGCAGACAAATCTAATCGTTTTATACACATGTACGCTATTACTGAAACATAAATGTCTATCTATGCTTATATTTAGTATGTTTCATTATACTATAAAGTAAATGTAGAGTTTTATTTTCATTTTATACAATTTCTATTTTTCGTATTTGTGGGGGCACGTGGCTGTAAGTCCGACTCACGTGTGTTAGTTACACGTGTGTGGGCATAGTTTTATAACCGCAACACAGAAGGTGTCTGTGTAAGAAACTGTACACGTGTTTGGAAAGTGTATTTCTAATGATTTAGTAGTCAATTTTTAAATATTGTAACATCAAGAACGAATATGGTCTTTGAGTGTCCCTTCTAGAACCTTCTATGGACGTATTTTCTCATCTCTATAAATAGAACCCCACACACTTGACATATATACACTGAACTGAAGTGTATTGATCCAGCGTACCAGAGTTTGTGACAGATGGTACACTGGACCACGCTGCTCTCTAGTTCGATGTCTATTGGAACTAATACATAATTTCACTGGTGAAATGAAACTAAGCACAAATTCAAACTGATATCAGAAAAAGCAATTAAAATATGGGTCACAGTGACCCTCTTGACCTATATTTTACAGACATTATTCTGTTTTGAAATAGAAGGGTGCGGCGATTAATATGCAGGTAGGGGAAAGACATTACTTGGACAGAAAAGCGAATTTTGTTACAGGAAAATCAAACGATGCACGTTCAGTTTTGAAGCCATTTTGACTGACACACACGTTTTATCAATAAAATCACATCCTTAACAAAAACTAATATGTTAATTGTTCTCTTTTACACGCCAAAAAGAAATGATAAGAAGTGGGTGGTTCCAATGCTTTACCGTTTGTTCTTCACCGATACGGTCAGGGAATAACAGTTTTTTCTTGATAGGAACTTTTAATGCTCTGGGGCAGCACTTGAAAAAAAAAAAATACACAAAAAAATCACATTAGTAGTTTAGTTGACATATTGGGTCATCTTTTGCATCTCGAACGAAACGCGTTTTTATTCTCCTAACAGGTGGCATTTTTACTCATAAATTTGGATATTATTTTCAAAATTGAAATTGCCCTATTGATTCTAACGTGGAGACTTCTGTTTGTCGATTTTTTTGTCTGTCAGTAAAATAGAAAAGTTTTGTTTGCCAAATAAATGTGTACACGTGGATAACGTCAAGTGTATGATTTTTTTCTACGTCGAATCAACATAGTGTTCGTTTAATAATAATATATATAAATACACACATTTAAGAATTCGTATTCATGAATAAGCGAAACACAACAAGTACTTTCCCTAAAAAAAGAGAAATTGCGCCATTGACGTATCGATTCATTAACACTTAGACAGTCGTTTGACGTCATATTATGACGCCACAATATATATATATATATATAGAGAGAGAGAGAGAGAGAGAGAGAGAGAGGGGGGGGGCGACCGACTCCACAATTGTTTATTTGCCTAGCCCACTATCAAAGAAAACAATTTTTTCAGAAAACAACTTTTTTTTCATTTATTTAAAACTTCTTTGCAGCAGTTGTCGTAAAATCTCAGAAGCCATGCAATTAAATTAGTGTTTTGCTTCGTCCCGGTATAATGGCGGATTTATTTTCTTGGGCTGTCTCTTTTAATAGTTTTAATAGATGCGTCATACATTGTGTGCGGGTAAACAGAAAATTGTCGACTGAAATCCGGAATTTGATATCAGTACATTCCTTTCAACAAAATGAAAACCTTATAATATTGTCTTCAATGTCATTTTAATTCCATAGTTTCTAAGGTGTTTCATCGTGAAGTATGACCTATTCAGTCGTTGGAAACCTGTAAAATTCTATAAGTGAACCGTGTCACTATTCGAAATAATTATACCGTAGCATGCAGGTTAATGGTGACCTTGTGTAAATATATCTGAACGCAAGTATGCGACATGTTAAGCTGTTTTTTATCATTTTTTTTTCAATCTGGGATTGTGTCCGATAACACATCGTAGTGTTATAACAGCCTTTGGGATGAGAGACAGAAGACCGCGAAATTAGAGATATCAGTATTTTTAATTTTAGCTTCAACGGATAGTGAAATCAAATAACAAAAAGCGCTGAACATTTATTTATTGCATTTGGTTGCGTCTGATAGCTCTATAAGATATTATGTAACATATCGCGATAGTTGATGATGGTCCTAGTTCATAGCCAGGCACGTGTTTACCATAGTCTCTCCCAACAACGTTAAGGGGGTATGGTACACATTCCGAGGAGTACCGGTCCGTTCTTTCTGTCCAATAATTACGTGATCATACTACTATATCTTTTTGTGACAAAGACGACTATCGTTTTAGTAATTTCTCAACGGCTCTGAAATTTGCTGTTGTCAAACTCTGGAATATGCACGAAATGTAATGACCTTCCACTTTTACGATTTGAATAGAATCAACTGGTAAAATAAAAATCGAAATTAGCTATGAAATGATATCAGATCAGATCTAATATTGCGCTTATGTGAAAAAAATGATTCTGTGATGAGAGTAAACGAAGGAAACGTGACGATTTGAGAAGACAAGGGATATTTAGCAACTCTTAAGTGTTTGCATTAATTTCGGCACGTGACAATTGTCGTGACGACATCGATATCAAACTTTGCAAAATGTCGACAGGAGAGCAAGATTACTAAATATAGCATAGTTATCAAAGTAGAAGTAATGAATGTTTTAGCAAATTTTGAATAACTGCGATCTCATTATCTGTATTGTAATAGCGAACAAGGATTGATATTTTTTAAGTACTAAAAACAATTTAAAATTAGTTACAGTAGTGCCAACAAATTAACTTCATCACACATCTTTTTCGTCTTTTTAGGATTCGTCAATGACGCTAAATTTTGAAACCTAGGAGTGACTAATGAAATTAATAATTGATTGAAAGAAATTTCTGAATTTACAGGGGAATTGCACTAGCCCCATAATTCAGTAAATTTCGTAATTTTTATTAAAAAAAAAACCCCGTCGAACACGTGTGTATATACATATTTTAGCAGCATTTATCAGCTGTAGCAAAGGTGGTATAGGACCGTACCACTTTTCCTTAAATCGTTTTGTTGTGTACCTATAAACAGTATAATAGTTTTGCAAACAAAAACTATTTTTAAAGAAACACGTGCACTTCAGATTATTGATTCTATTTAGAGATATATTGAGACCTTATGGAGCTGACTTCCTTTCGTATTCCATTCAGGTGCCGCAGTAGAGGTGGTAGAGCGTTGATCCATGTAAGGTTAAGGTGCTAGTCCCATTTTCCCTTCCCGTGACGGTTGAAGTTCCTCTGGAGGGTGAGAACAAGAGACCAGTCTATTATGGTGTGTCCTTATTGTTCTGAAAGGCATGCGACGGACCTTTTGTATGTTATTCAGTGAAATCCAACCTCAAAATGACCTTGGATGTTCACTAAACAAACAACCGGACGAAATTCACACCCAATGTTCCATCCATTTGCCAACCAATCAATAGATATTTTGAAAGGCCCCCAGCCATATCACAAGGCATCTTCAAGACAGCCATTCATTCATTCATTTTCAGCAATACTTGGTCAGAATTTTACAATATTCATTGCAAAGCTATCAGGTAGCAACCCTTTGTAGATGAGTTCCGGTTTTCAGCCTTTTGATAATTCCAAATGACAAAATGGTAACTGGACATTTTAATTTTGCATGGTGACCACAAAATATCTTTTTAAAAAGAGTCCAAACTTGGACTTTCATTGAAATTATCAACTGTCAGGCAGGTAATTTTCTTACTACCATTTCTGGGAAATTCCTGCACTGATCAAATTCTAGAAAGACTTCGAAGCAAGACCACTGTACATTGGCCATCATAAATTGAATTAGAGTTGTTTCACCTTCTCCATGAAAGACTATCCCAGTAAATTAGCTAGCGAATGAATGGACTCTAGGTCTGTCAAACAGGAATTGTTGTGGAAGTGATATAACTTAAATGTCACATTAAAATAAGGATGTTTACTACAGAACATCACCAGCACACTGACTCTAACCGCTGAGACAATACCTAGTGATTGAAAGAGTCATGCAGATGAAAAACTTGAAAAAACTCCCCAGGACCTATCATGCATGTTTTTGTTTGCGGAGTCCTGTTATACGATAGCCATTTTAATGGAAAGTGTTCTGCAATATTATTAATATCTTAACATCAGTAACTATCCTTGTTATGAACTTAGTTTGCAGAAAAAGTACGCCATTCAGAAAGTAAAAACCAAAACAATGTTGAAAATATAGTTTTTATTAAAATATCACATCTTTACAAAACCATTGCACAATTCATAGATCATTGCAAAAATTAAAAGCATGCAGTATGCAAGAACTTTTAAATATTGAAGAATTGATGTGATGTGAGATACTATTCTAGATGAAAATGAAAACAGAAAAAAAACCCAATGATATTGTGAACCATACATTTGCTTCAAAACAAGTAATTTTAAAACGATATGAAATTCACTCCAAAAGGTTTTTCATACCAAAACACCTCAGTTTGGAATGTGTGATGCTTACTAGATTCAAGTACTCGCCTGTCTTTGCAGCTAAGATCATTATATTAATCTCCTGACACTGACAATTAAATTGATAGTAATATATATATTGGTCTTTAACCATTATCCTTTAGCACCAAAAATAAATATTTTCACAAGTTCTAATTGTATCACAGCTAAACTGCATTAAGGATGTTATCAATGACAAGAGCAATAACAATGAAAAAATAGCTTCCTGACAGCAGGTGCTTGCAATATCAAGCACAATTTAATATGACAAATTCATACACTAACCGTCACTGATTCCAAGCAAACCTGTTACCTGTGGAAGAAAAACAAGTTGTACGGTCTATCATATTCAAATCCTTGCCTCACTTAACTAAATCATGTTTTTTTCTGTATTTTAATCAATATTGTTTCACTTTTTTCTTTTGTAAATTTCATTTTAGAAATAAAAATTTACGTGTATTAAGAAATTTTACTCTATTTTCTTATCCTGCAAATATCATTGATCTATATTTAAATATTACCTGTGTTTTTTTGTGCATCATAACTGAGGCTTGATGCGAATGGCTGAAACAGAATTGAAATACATATTAGTGTTCACATAGCAACATTTTCACAGGGTAAGTGCAAAGTGATTCTTTGGTACACTACACAAACCTGATCTTGGATTTTATTTAAGCAGGCCCCGAATGACCTTGACCTTTGACCCCCTGACTCTGAAAATCACAAGAGTTCATCCTTTCGCGAAGGGAAATAAGTATGGTAAGTGTGATCACACTCCATGAAATGGTTTTTTCAGAATCTGGCTGCAAAGAACATTGAAAGGAATGGCTGTGATACCAGGTCCCTTTCATAAAGTCTGACAAGGGGAATGAAGCCACATTGTAATGTCCTTATGGTTAAATATTACAATGTGTAGAAAGCAGAGAACGCTTGAAACCACTGAATTCATGAGCTCAAAGTAACCAATGAATATCATAAATTTGAAATATTCTTTTATGTCAAAATATAGAAATGAACTTTTTTAGATGTCAAGTATAGGTAATTTGTAAAATACCTGTAAAAAAAAAAACACATTAAAAAACAATTACCCTGTTCTGCTGGTGTTTCTGACTCCTTTCCAATCTCACTACCGAGAGAGATAAATATTGGAAGTTTCTGTAGTTTGAATGGAATCCCAGATGTGTTGTCCTCCTCAGTATTGCCGGAGTCTGTTGCCGTCCTTTTCAGTGTCACATGATGCAGCTCTTTTTGTGAGACGGCTGTTGATCTCCTGATTCAGAAAACAAGTTAACTGTAAATCAATTTTCTTTCGTGCGCAATTAAATTGTCAAATTTTATAATTTAGTGAAAATTCAATGCTGCAAATTCAGAAAGGGATACCACACAACAGTAATATTTCAGTAAAATAGTCTGTGTGTCAAAATTAGTTGCTGCAGACTTATCATGATGCCAAAATCACCAAAGTTTTGCAGAAGTTTGGTTTTCAAATTAGATCCAGCATTCCTATCTTTAAAATGGCACTGATATTTGTTGAACTCAGCAGAAATTGGCCATATATAAATTTCATTTATTTTAACAACAATTGCCAAACAAGTTGTCCCGACTTATACTAATCACCCTTGTTGGCCTGAATGTAAACATACAGAGGTCTTACTGTGGAAGGAAACCAGAGTCCTTGGGGAAAACCCATGTGGTCATCCAGTTGACCCCTTACCTTTTGATGTCCCAGACGGCTAAGTGAAAGGCAAGTGCAGTACCACTGCACCACCCTTGGCTGTATGGGTAAAGTCTATCGTGATATATGCACTCAAACAATTGTGGTTTCATTAAAAAATATTCCATTGCAGGAGTCACTATAGATCACTGAATTCAACCAATCTGCTTGGAAGTGTGCAAAAATTGCCATTTCCCAATTTAATTACCGCAAAATAATTAAAATATTCGATTGGAGCTATTGGAATGTACAAGGTATAAATAAAGTAAGACAAAATGATTGAAGATGAAGGTAATCTTGTGACTGAGAAATAAAAAATTGATAAAGTTTTTTATTTCTCAGTATCAGCACATATCATATATTACTTTCTCCTGGGCTTGTCTTTCCTTGTTTTGTGGATCAATGGACAAGTGTGGCGGTCTGGACATTGGCCAGTTCTGGTGAAGACTGGACACTCAAGTGTGTGCTGCTTCTTACACTGAAATACAAATCATTATTCTCAATGTCTTTGTGGACGGAAGATTATAAGACTCTTTTTCATGTCAGGGTGTACAATAAGGTTAACCCACCCAAGGGATTACAAAATGCCCTTTCCTTTGAAGTGAGAGTTCTCTATCTTTATCATGCAGGAGTAGTTGGATAATTTCTCTCTCCTTATTTTCTAGTTGGTAAACTTAGAAAAGTTACAATGATGGATCCCAAATACAGTCATTCTTTGGCTGTTGTTTTCCTAGGTACCAATGAAATATTTTCACAGAAAAATTGAAAATACATCTCAATAGTGCAGGAAATTGATGAAATGTTGTCTAGCTGTTACTAGAATAGTGGACAAATGAAGAGCAACTATGTGGATCAATTCCTACACAAGGCCGATTATGTTTCTCGAGAAGCTGAGGTTGCAGACTGCTCTATGCTATCTTGGTTTTGTCTAATTATGTCTTGGATAAACTGAAGTTCACGATCAATGAGGTAATCGCCATCTACCACATAGATCGATTGCACCTGGGTGTTCATTCACCAAGCACACAAACACAATACAGAGACTGCCAGTCTCACAGAGGCTGTTGTCTGCAATACATTTTTTTTACCTGCTCCAACAGTTCTTACTTTTTCTCCTAAGGGACAGAATCCTTTGAGGAAGTTTGGACAGACTGATGCATTTTTGTTGACCTTAACATGGAGGTAGGGACAGTTGTCTCTGTTACAGACACCACGCAGGAAATAAGAGCAGACAGGCATCTTCTCTTTTACCACTTTGTGTGAGAATGGACAGCCAGTCATTTGACATGTCCCTCGCAGAAACCTGGAAAAAACCAATGTAGGACAGACTAAAATCTTTACACAGGATATCATTAATACAGTTTACTATATTTGCCTAACAATAAGTCAACCTCTTTTAATAAGTTGACCGAAATCTTAAGCAGTTTCAACAAGACTCCCATGGGCCTTAACGGTCAACTGACTTATATATGAAAGAGGCACAATAGGCCTAAATTAAATTGCTCAACTACTCTACAGCTTACATAGAAGATATTGTTGGTTCGTCAAGACATTTTCTGCAAGCTTAAAATCCTATTCTTTATACATACACTACACAATTGCCATTACTCTGGATAAATTGCTTGTTGAACAGGCCTAATATCAAGACCCTTGGCCTTTCAGTAATTGAAAAGAAGTTGCATAATCATTTAACACATTTGACCCCTGTGACCTTGAAAGTTGTCCAATATTAACACACTAGTCCTTTTGGTTATTGAGAAGAAGTCATTTGGATCAAGGTCATTTCTATTAACTAGGGGTCAAATCAACTTTCTGAATTTAAGAAATGATTCTCCATTCTTAATGATGTTTCAGACCAAATTTGGTTGAAATCAATTCAAGCATTAAGAATGAATAGCAGTTGGAAGCAAAATATTGACTAATTTTCTCATCTGAGGCCCTGCCCATCCCCAGGTCCCTAGGGTTCTAATCAACCTCCTGTATTTAAGAAATGCTTTTCCACTCTCAAAGATACAATCTTGTCTTATTTTCCCTTTTGGGCCCCATCCCCAAAGTCCCTAGGGGGTTGAATCAAATTTCTGAATTTAAGAAATATTTGCCTACCCTAACTGATGAAACAGGCCAAAGCTTGAAACCCAACCAGGCAGAGAGGAGGTGTAGGGTTTTAAATCTAATTTCAGCACCTCCCCCTTTCAGCCTCCGTCCCTCGACCCGTAGGGGTCAAATCATAATTCTGAATTTAGGAAATTATTGTACTCACCCAATAATGCATCAGACCAAATTTGCTAGATATCAATCCAGGTATGAAAGAGAAGTAAGGTTTTAAAGAAAAAGTTTATGTACAACGACACACAAAGCATGATGACTTTAAGTCATCTTGACCCTTCAAGTGAGATGACCTAATTAAAACAAATGCTATATTATTGTCCTGGAATAGGTCAACCTCCATACTTATAGTTGGAGGTCGTTGCTGTCAACTCTCTTGGCTTATTGCATGATAATAACTATAATAAAAGATATAAATCTGACAAACCTGGTACAGACAGCTACCTTGTCTGGATCATGGATGTAGGGACATTTGCTGCCCCTTTTGCACTTTCCAAACCTGTTGAAAAAGAGACAGTACTGTTTGGAGAGTGTGCTTTGGGTGTTGTTCCTCTTTCGTCTAAGGGCTGTTGCTGCTGCAATGCTTCTGTGAATCACACGGCTGGAGAGAAAAATTTCTATATTCCTTACCAAAATCCATCTTTTTATAATCGAAAAAATGATTGTGTCAATCCTGATAATAATTTTGTATATTTGATAGAACGCATTAACATATAGAAAGAAAAATTACTGAAGAATTTAATTCACTTAAAATGGTGAAATCAACAAAACTTCAAAAATAATTACTGACCAGTAGAATGTACTATATTAAATTAATGAAAACTATTTAAGTAAGGCAACCTACTTGGCAACAACCCGTGTGTTCGCAGAGCCGACCCTCTCGAGAGCACCTTGACTGTTCCTTATAAACGTTACTCCCCCAATGTCAAGACGTTTAACTGTTGTAGGTGATTGATGGGAGCTTCCTGGATATGATAGAACATTTGTTTATTGAACAGCATCGATTAGGAGTCACTGAGGTACAAGAGTATACCATGCATTCCAACTTATTCCAATACTGATTTTACACTATTTGTCTGATATGGGCTCTCAAATGGAAAGTTTACAAAAAAAAATTACAAATGAATGACAGACTCAACTTAGTTTGTTTAACAACTGTGATCATCAGTTAAAGGGAGATAACTCCAGTGGTTATACCCTTTGCACCCTTGGAACATTTATGGCAAAATTGAAGGTTCTATGTATGACACCTTGTGGATAAAACAGGTAGACTAGTTTGATCCTTTGATAAACATCAAATGAATCTAAAGATCACATAACGGTATATCGTTCTAGATTTAAAGTTGGTTAATGCTCCTTCGTAATCTTCAAAAAAGTGTTTAAGTCTGTGATTGCTCTGATTTTTTTTCTCCTTAAATCAGGTTTAGACCAATCAAATTAATTCTCTTGCGCCTTCAATTTTGCCATGAAACATTCCTGGAGAGCAGAGATTGAAAGTGATCATAACTCCATATCAGGAATGGAATAATTAGTCATAAATTATTATTTCTTAAGTGACTTAGTGGTTTTAGACTTAAGGTATACTATGCACATGATATATGGAACATTTTGAGACTGTCAGTTATTCAGCGAGATCAGCTCAGGCTGTACATACACATTTATATATAGGATTGACAAATACAAGGGGAATTTACATTCAATACTAGAAAAGGAGGAGTGTGCCATAATTTGTTGGCAATTATAAGCTTCCATACAATTAAACATTAATTGCTTCTATTCTGGAGTTATTTCTAATAGAAAGTAAGAAATGGGAGAAAACACAACCTAATTTACTGGATGCTGAATGAACCCTTCGCAGAGTTTTGCCACTGGCATCCATCTGGAACTGGACTCCACGAACTGTTACCACCTTCATACTTTTCGGCTCCATCTCTGGTAAATAAAAGGTTACAATTTGCCAATTAACACATTTGGGTTACATAAATGACAAGAAAAATCTGAAAACGGCACAGCCACTGTATCACAAAAATTTGTTAAGGTACTGTACATAGGTATCATGTGTCTCTCAAATAAAAAAAATGAAATTTGAATATTTGTTTTGATAATTGCAAGATATAAACATCTGGAAGATCACTCAAATTAAGCTGTTTACTATTGACAAATAATCCAATTTTTTTAAATAGAATTTTCAGCTAAATTACCAAGGTATTAATTAGTACATTTGTCCAATTCATCTTAACACTAATTAGCCTATTTCCAGAGGGCCTGAAGTCACCATGCGCGTGAAAAAGAAAGATAAAATCCGTACCTGTAATGTTTTTGTAAAACTTGGTCTTACAGTGTTGTCGGTCACTTTAATAAGATTTAATTAGGTCATTTCTGTTTATGGACAGTAATTATAAAATACAGGTAATACGAACATCCAATGTTATCTTACAATAGACATTCTTATTGCTTTGTCGATGATGAGAACTTCCTGAATAGTCTAATAATAAACATATTGACATGTTACTAGAGAAATTCTTTACCGATTTCAATACACAGTGTTGTATGACCAACTGTTTCAACATTACTTTTTGTTTTCATTTACTTTGAATTCACATTGTTCTGGGCCTAATACTAATACAGACTATCATTATAGTGGATTTAGCACTAGTTTTGTATATACCTGAACAGTGAAACAATTGATGGTACGAAGTATTACTACAATTATCAGATTACACATCTTACCATTTCCTGTGTCATTTCAATGCTATTTTTGCATTTTTTTAAAACCTAGTTCAGAGGTCTAGACACTGATTTTATTTCTTGTAGCTAACATTTTTATTTTAACTCCTTATGAATTATGTTCATCATATTGAAAACAACGAGCCATTGTAGGTATCACTCTGTTCTATGAAAATGTTACCGGTACAGTAGGCTTAGTGTGTAATGACTGCACTCTTAAAAGCAGAAGTTGGGTAATATATGAAATTTACATGAAAATGAATATTTAAATATTCAAATACTGAATCAAACGAATATTCAAATAGTTATTTCTATCAAAGTGACATCCGTAATTTTATAACATAATAAAAATTTTTTTCAAATAAAACAACAAACACAGTTTACAGACATATAGCAGCTGACATGTACCTGGTAAGTGTGGTTCTTACAAATCTGATATCTAAGTTAACTTAATATCTGTAAATATGACATTATTATATAATGTCATCCATCATATTACAGAAGTTCACAGTCAAATGACATTGGTGTATTCACTGACAAAACTTACTCTTTACCACAATGTTGGAGGCCTTGACACTATCGTATATCCTAGAAGCTGCAGACTTGATTACTGGTGTCTTGACAGGGGAAGTTTTGACAAGACTTTTGGAGCTAGATTTATACAACATGCCATTGATAACCACAAAACTAGATTTCCCAGGAGCTCTAGATGGCCGTAGAGTAGAGATGGATGGGCATGGTGAAGCTGATACTCCAGAAGCACCAGAGGAAACTGACATGGTTGGTCTTCCTTTGACTGATTTGAAACTGTAATGAATTTTTGAGTAAAATAGTATTATAAATTATTCTGACTGAAAAAATGTACAAGTGACAATTGGAAATTATTCAAACAAAACCGCTTGGTGTATACATAAAAATTACCTTGGTAACAAAATTTCCCTTGAGCACGATACCTTTCATTTGCTGTGTGTTAAAAGCAATTTGTTTCTCAAACTACAATTCCCAAGCTTCTTCATGTAAATCGCCTATATACATATACTTCCTTGTGTAACCTCAAAAGATTGGAGTATGAATATAAACTCTTCAAAGTTTAGCATACTCTAATTAGTTATAGAGAAAATAGCACTATTTTCACAAGTAATGTAAAACTACCAGACATTTAAAATTTATAGGTATAGATATTTCACAAATTTTAATATCAGAAGACAATTCCACTCTGGACTAAAAAGTCTCACCAAACACCAATAATGCTGAACACACCAGCTTTCAATTCCTACAGATGTCACGGATTCTATTAAAAACAAACCTGGAAGAGGAACTATTGTCATACTGCAGTCTCTTCAAAACGTATTTCTTGTCAAAGATGACCTTTGACCTTAGATGGTGTGACATTTTGACCTTCTGAGGAAAGTATGAGTGATAGAATCCTCTATTGATGACAGGATACACACCTAGAAAATATAAAAATACATACAAATATGTAAACGTTACCATAACTACATTTACAATAACAGATATTCCGAAACAACTTTTAGGATATGAACAGCTACAAAAATAAATTGTCAAGAGTTGCTCTTGTTCGTTTTATTTCCACTGCATTTCTTTTTCCTTCTTGTATATAAGGCTGATTAAGCATTGAATGGCATGGGTATGGTATTAATTGGCTCTTTTAGATGATAAAAGCTTGGCAGGCACATGTCTTATTGTGTTCTTTAACAACAGCTCAATATGTTTCACACAATGTTCACGACCAGATTTTCCACCTACCTTTATGTATAGGAAACCCACGCCCCGAGTACTGTCGCAATCTATCCCTTGTTCCTGGGTACGTTAGGTGCTTCCTCATTCCTAAATGTGGGTAAGAACCATGTCCATAACGATTCACCCAACCATGACCTTTCCCTCTGTTGTCATAGTAGCTGAAGTGTCTAGGAAAGGAGAACCTTCTTCTGTTTGAGAAATTCCTACTGGAGAAGATTGGAGGCTTGCTGTTGTAGTGTGGCAGTGGACTTTTAACACCAGATGTCACTTTCCACAGTTTGTATTTTGATTTAATCACTTTTGCTACCACCTGCGTTTTACTTGGAGTTACAACAGATCTTAATGTTTGAGGTGTGCTACTGCCAGAGTCTGTACGTTTTGCTACTTTCTTATTTAAAGAATATTTTTTATCAAAGACGACATGTGACATTGTTGAAAATCTTTTAAATTGAGACTGAGCTTTTGAGCTGTTTGATATGTACGGAAAAGTGTAATCTTTCTTTAACGGATATTTTGATCCCTTAGAAGAATTTTCTCTGCCATTTTTGTAAGATTTTTGAGTCGTCATTCCTTGTAATGACTTGGCCTTCGTTGGCAGTGACTTAAGTGCTGACTTTTCTTTCTTTATTGCAGCGATAGATTTCATTGTCACTTGACTGTTTGTAATGTTGCGAGTCATCCGTTTAATCTCTGCTTGTGTTTTTGCTAATTTCTCAGTAAGCTGAAGAACAGTATCCTTACGAGAGTCCATTTTTTCTACAGTGCTTGTTTTACTTGGAGATAAGATAGTTTTAATTGGGGATTGTTGACTAGATTTCTGAGGTGAGGAAACTGATGAAGTGACCGATACTTGAACTGTTCTATGCATTTCTTTTTTGGACCCTATACCAATAGCACTGTTAGTCTCTTTGGTACATCTTACAAGGGAACGTGATGAGGCAGATATAGGTTTTGATGGACTGGAAGCAGTGATAGCAGAACTGTTCAATGGAGGAGCAGATGAAACAGACTTTTCGTCTTCACGCAATAAACTAGCATTCATCTCGGACAATATGGAACTACTTGAGTTCGATCCTGTTGAACTACTCTTTAACTGATTTTCCTTGGTCTGGTCAAAATTTGCGTCCCACATTTTTGATGAATTTGATGCAACAACTTGATCAGATTTTAATGCTTTGCATACAGACGATGAATCTTTTGATGGACAGAGTTGCACATGTGAACTGGATTCCAGATTTATATCTTCTACAGACAAAACACGTTGAGTTTTGCAAGCATTTATTGTCTCGGAGGAATCACTTACAGGGTCCACAATAGAACCCAACTTTCCTGAGGGGCAAGAATCAGTGCCTGTACTAGGCTGTTTACTACCTTGGCTTTGAGAGATTGTTTCAATTGTAGACGAATTGGAAGACATATCTGATGAAAATTCCTTCAAAGGCATATTAGAGGATTTAGCACCTATATATACACTGACAGGTACATCAGTTTCTTTTTTTGAATGAGAAATCAATTCCCCTGATGAAGGCCTCCTGGAAGACTGAAGATGATCACTTCCTACACATGCCAAATTTTGAGCAGATTTTGATTTCTTGACCACAGACTCTACTTTAGGCACTATAGTTAAGTCATTCTCAACTTCTTTTGTTAACTTTTTCTTTAAATGACCTCTTAGAAAAGAGGGGATCACAGATATTTTCTCTTGTACTGGAGGAAATTTTCTTTTTTCGGTTTGTTCCACTGGCTCTGGTGACTTGGAATGGGCTGTGAATAATATCACATCTTTGTTACTAGAAGCTTTCTTTTGATTAGACAGTTGTGATTTCATCAGTGGATAAGTCGAGCTTGTACACTCATTTGAGAACTGTGGTGAAGATCTGCTTTTACTAATTGATGTTGAAGACGAATTTGTTGATATAGATGAAGAAACAGTTCCCTTCAATTTATGGAGTAATTGGGTTCTGATACTCTTTAATCCTGAGGTAGATATGTCAGCTTTTGATGATGAGACTGCTGATGTTGGCACATGCACAACACTGGTGGAGACATTCTGTACAGGAAAAACAGGTTTTAATGCTTCCTTTGGAATATCTCTAGATTTGATTGACTGAGAATGTAAACAAGCACCATCCATTGTTTTTGTATTTGAAATGTTTCTGTTGTTGATACAGCTTTCTTCAGATGAGTTCAAACTTCCCCTAGTCGTTAAATCTGTTGCAACTTCTGATGATTGAAGAGTCAATATGTTTGCTTTATTTCCTTGTGGCAATGGCAGGGACGTAGATGAGGACCCTTTTTCTACTGGTAAAGAGAATCTTAATCCTGGTTTCTGTGGTTTTATAAAAGATTGTGACAACCTTGTTGGCTGTTCTGGTGCTATCACTTGTGCATGATGATCTGATGCACTGGACTTTTTTGTCCAGACATATTTGCCCTGTTTAAGAGGTTTCTGCCCCATTTTCTGACACTCAGGACCATATTTCTGAAAATGTGGCTGCTGGCCTATATTTAATCTCTGTAGATCAGTCTTTGTGTAGTTCACATAGTGATGTGGCTTTGCCTTCTGTTGGTGGCCTCTGACCTCTACTGGTACCTGATGTGGCCCTGTCTTCTTTTGATGACCTCTGACCTCTCTGGGTACTTGATGTGACCCTGCCTTCTGTTGGTGACCTCTGACCTCTACAGGTACCGTTTGGGTCGTATTTTTGATAGGTCTTTGCTTTTTTTTCTTGGCATTGTTGATAAGATCTGAAAAAGAACAAAAAGAAATAAGTCTTTAAATAACTGATATAAAAGAATGAGGTTTAAACTACATCATAGTTTAAAACTTATTTACACAAACGTAAAACTGAGTTTCCATTTTTCATCGTTGTCTTTTTCGTCCCCAGCCATATAATCAGTCCCTACTACAGTAAACATACTTAATTTGGTACAATCAAATTTCAACATGTTAGCATTTCTTGCTAAATTAGTGCAATGATAAATTCTTGCATTCACAATAATTAATACATAAACTGCAATCAAATGCGAAGTGTAGGACAAGACAAACGGGAAAAATGGCAAGACAGAAAACCCAATAATCAGTCTCATTTGATTAAGGGACCTATATTCAAATTGATCATCATAGTTTGTTGTTTAACTTGTTAATTCCAGAAAGTTATGAGCACATTATATATGCACAACTATAAATGCTGGATCATTTGGAACTTACAGATGAAATCTGCGAATTTTTTCTCAAATTATTCCTCAGAAATAGTGCTAAAAACTTGACTTCTCAAAATCCAACACAGTTGACTGTTGGTTAGCTACAGACTATATGTTTAACAAAAATCAATATTGTGAGCAAATTCTATGAAATATCTTCCAGCTCTAAATCTTAAAACCAGTGAGATCATTTTTATTTTACAATCGATCTAAAGCTTTCAACATTTTAATTTCCAATAAAAACATATATATTCTCCCCCTGTCTATATTGATGCTATTGAAAGGAAGCAAATACATTAACAAATTATTGAAATTATAAGTGCTATGAATTCATAAATATATCGAAATTAAGATGCGAGCAAATAGCTATTATAGGGTTTTACTATGCACAACTATTTGAGATATGGAGTGTGTAATAATTTGGAATTGATATAAAATTTGCAAGAAATCAGGACTTTTGCTTTCATGTTTAGATATGGAGATATAATTTGTAAGCAAAGATACACTTTGCAGCTAGTTGTCACTCTTTTTCCTGTCTAGGAGTGAAATATGGTGGTTAACGAACTACTGCACATGTGATGTAATAGCCGTAAAAAATTGAAGTGATAGATGGCTGCATGACCGTCCACTACATACCATAAATAAAGCACAAACCTCATTGATATATCCATTATCATTTTCATAGCTGTTTCAAGGGCTTAAAAATGTCTAACACTGATCATGACACTAATGTTACAGAAATTTTGTATATCAAGTTTGTTAAAAGTATACAATCCTCAGTGTTATACCCATGACCACTTCCATAGTCATTTAAATGGCTTACAAATTAAATGTCCACCAAAGAAGCGATAAGAGATTTTTAAGAACAGACTGGATTATATTACGGACTTGCTAATTCATCTGAAATATGGCCGAACCAAAATACAATTTAACAATATTACGACTCATTTTTTGTGTCGGTTCCTATAGCCGGAATTGTGAATCAAATATATACGTTATTGTAGCTCAACAAACACTGTTATTTTACGTATGTTAGCCTATATTTACAACTGATATTAGGATTAGATGGACAGGATACAAACCGACCAAAAAAAACATGCATCAGCACATTGAACATTTTCCCAAGTCATACATTCAGTTGCTATTCCCTTATATTGATACAAACCTGTGAGATAATTAATTTGGTTCTTTAACGTTTCTACTTCAGATATTTTCGACATTTCTTTTCGCTTCAAAGGAAGTGAAATAAGTTTAAAGCGTTTTGATTTCGTCACATTTTTCGTATTCCAGCGTATATATTAATCTAGATCACACACATGCTTGTTTTTCTTGCATAACAGTGCAAGTAAATTTCAAACATTTTCATGACGTTGTTTGTGTTGATTTTCTTGCAACACGACATGAAAAGGGAAAAAGAAGAGGATTTTTGATCGACAGAACGTTTTCGTTTTACAAATTGTTTAATTTTCAGACAGTGATGGAGTTCTCACAGTTGCTGATATCATCAGAAGCTTGGTCTGAAAAGAGTGGATCAAAATTCAAAGTTTTATCCTCTGACGAAGAAGAGAAAAAAGTCGTATTCCACGTACCCGACACTGATATAGTTTTCCACTTGTCAATATGTGACGATAAGACAAAATTGGTTGGTATTCATTTGAGCTTTCTAAGTCGAATTTGATTAGGGTCAAAATAATGCTATATACTTCACTGGTTATCACAGTAACGATTTCCGCTTAATTTACACGTTTTAATAGATACAAGGAAGTTATTATGCTGGAAATACTTTAGAAACTCAAGTCTGTCTTGAAATATCTTTGTATGTTATGACTGATGCACCATATACCATATAAAATATAAAATAGTTGCGGTTATAATCAGTCCAACAGATAATCAAAAATGTAAAAGAACATACCAAATTTACAAAAACATGAAGATCTTAACATTGTGAACACCAAGGGATATCAGTTTGTTTTGCTATTTTTAGTTTATTTTTTGTCTTATATATTTTATAAACATACATTTTTAAAGTGTAATTAAAGTCAGCAGGATTCAGTTTTTTTCTTTAATTTGGTGATCAAATAACATTGCTCTCACACCCCATTTTGGGACTGGGGCCCTTAGAATTTGGAAAAATAATGGTGTTTTCCTTAGAATTGGGAGAACTTGGGGTCTAAATTGGGAAAAAAAGATACAATTTTGCATTGGGAAGGGGGCCGAATATCGGCCCCAAATCTGGCAGATCAAGAGCCCTGAATAAGGAACCGTCAACTGCACTGTTTGCTTAATAAACATCTCAAAAGATCGCAGTTTGAATACATGTTTGTGTTAATGGTTTCTGATGAAATTTTTTCTTAGGCTGTGTTTAACATGCCTATTTGTACCATATTATTCCTGCAGTATACCCATGGAGTCAATATATACATTATCTAAATCTAGCAGTTATTGAGTTTATTAGAGGACATGTATAATAAAATGGCATCTTTTGATTTAATTCTGCCTAATAGTAATAGATCTGACAGGGCTTGTTACAGAATGTGTAATCCATTGTCTGCTTGCAATGTTTATGTTGTGTGTTTTGGAAACTTTTGCAGACATTGTATATGTTTTTTCAGTTGGTATGGAGTAACAATGACAGTGTTCTGCCTTATTTACATGATGTGCTGGAGCCAGCAGAGATGGGTAAACCTGTCAAAGATGTTCTTGATATGGTTGACAAATGTCTTAAATCAGTAAGTATCAAAGAAAAAAATTTAGAAATGTGTAAATCACTGAATTGTATATCTCCAATCTGATTAAGATACATATTCTCATTACAAATATCTTTATTATAATTGTACTGTACATCCATTAAGTATTCAAATATGGTCTTATAGATATTTGTAAGTTATTAAGTAAAAAGGAAAGCTTTATATATTAAATATAAAAAATCTTATCGAGGTAAGCAATGTCAGTGATTGAGTGTTTAAGACGTCTGATCATCTTTATCACTAGCCTTTGGATGGCAGGTTTTAGGCTGAAGTGGGGCAGTCGCCAGGTACTGGCTGCAGGTCGGGGGAGGGGGGGTATTTTTCAGGAACTCTGCCTTTCCACTACCATCCAAACCTGGCTTGTCCTTAAATGACCATGGCTGTTAACAGGACGTCAAGCAATGATAAACTTAACTTTCTCTGGAAATGAAAAAAATCAGGACACTTTTCATGTTTAAAAAAGGGTTTTTGGAGAAATTGTTTTTAATATCCTGAAGTTGAGATTATGGTACCGAATGTTATGCTAAAATCACATTGTCTTTATCAAACCACCCAGTATTTTTCTGTAGGATTTTTTTTCTGGAGTATCCTGAGCACCATTTCCAAGATTTTGATGCTTCATAACCTGTTACTAAGAGAAATAGTGGGTTTTCATAATTTAAGCGAGTGTCACAGGAAATGTGTGAGTCCCAGACTCAAATTTTTGAGCCCATTAAATCACTGCCATCCATTTCTTTCTCCTGTGCAGAATTTTGTCTGGAGTGATAATCTTCTGCATGGTACATATTTCAGTGAAACCTTTATGCGTTTCCATTGAAGTTAAAGGAGTTATTGCCCTTGAGTTATTCACAAATGTTTCTGCAAATACAAAACTTTGCAAGCAAATTCACTATAGAAGAAAATGTGTGATTGTTATTTGCAATGGTGGATTGTAAAATTCAAAATGGGAATATTATGACATGTAAACGTTCTGTTCTGACATTATGAAAGTGAATTAGTGGGGAGGTTGGGGGGGGGGTGTTAAAAAGCAAACCATGTTCAGCAACATACCAAAGGCCTCCCATCACTGAACATTTAGAAGAAAGTCAAACTTGTATTTGCAAGATGTCACAAACAAGCAAACCTTGCTAATTCTTCAGTGTTCTCAATAACTTCTATTCTACTTTATTTGTTGGAATATTTCCAATCATGCATGGACATAATTTAAATCAAGAATAACTACAAATTAAGTATTTTGCAATATTTGCACCCAAAATTGTTTTCTTCTCCCAGTCATGACCAATTCCTTACACTATTGGTGTAAGTTCATGGATTATCTCCCCTTACCATATTTATTTTCTGGTTCAGTTGGTGACAGCAGCCTTGAATAATGATGGCAGTGATGATGATGAAGGATGTGGATCAGATGAAAATGATGATTATGATACTTACTATGGCAATGACGATTTAGATGCTGATGAAAAGGAGGTACCAAAAGAAAAAGAACCAAATGCCAGGTACAGAAACAAGATGTCACTATTTTATTAGTCTTGTTCTGGATAATTAAATTCTTTCAGCTCTTATCAGATGTAAACAGAGATACCTCTGTCTGCATCACTCATAAGTGAGTGATTATTTTTTTCTCACACACTTTTCTTTCTTTCATTACTACAAGTTGTAACAGTAAACTCATTGTAGGAATGGAATATGAAGTTTACTGTATGCTAGTAATTCCATACTCTAGACAATTGATTTCTTTCTATGTTTTTGTTTTATACCACTTGGTTTATCATCTCATCAGCAGTGAGGACGAAGATGAGGACAACTTTTTTGGTGCCCAGGGAACACCAGCAGCAGTGCAGAGGCTCCTCAGAGGTAGCAAGCCATTTTATAACATACAATAGAATTTTAAATGTTATACAACATTGTCTATTGCACGTTCAGTAGAAATGCCAGAAAATGTTATGTCATTGTCTTGTAATAAGCTATAATTTAAGCTGGAGGGTATGTGTAGGTCCAATGGGCTTATTACAGTACTTTTGGCATATAAGGCCAACATTTAGAGATTGTAATGTTTATGTACTTATAAGTAAAGTGGAATTTGTTATAAGCAATTTCTCATCTTATTTCAGATTTGAAAGGAATGAAAGAGTCCCACAAGTTTGGAATAGAAGGACGACCAAGGGGAGATAATCTGTTTATTTGGGTATGTAGAGACTACTTTGAAGAGGTACTAAAGAAACCATATGAAGATGCATTGTGCACTAGCATCAGAATGGTGTATTTGAGATTTTATGTTGATCTAACCTTGACCTCTGTATTAACCTCTGACAGTGATCTGTCTTAAGATACTCTAGCCCATTAATCGTGCAATCCTCTAAGGTGACCTGTCCTTGGAATTTAAATGGCCCTAAGAACGGTTCTGTTGACCTCTTGACCTTATGGATACTGGCATTAGAATGATTCTTTTGACCCCTGACTGTGATCTGACCTTGAGGATACTGGTGTTTGACAATACTTCAGTACTTTTAAACAAATCACAATAAATTCATTTGAAAGTTTTATTTTAAAAAAATGAATGAATAAGTTAGAATCTCTCATTAATATTCGTGGGATTTTTTCCCTGGTGCTGCGGACTTATTGCACAAATTTGATATTTGGATCAGATGGACTAATCTGGCTGCAGCGGTTGAATGGCTAAAGCCTCTGACCATCTTTATCACAGCCCTCTACCTCTGGGTTACAGGTTCTAGATCTATGTGAGGTAGTTGCCAGGTACTGGTGGCAGGACGATGGACTTTCTCAACCAACTCTGCCGTTCCTCCACCACCTAAACCTACCTCATTCTTTAATGATACCGGCTGTCAGGACGTAAAGCAATGATAAATTATACTAAATTAAAGGAATACCATAACATGTTTTGTCTCTTTATTACAGGATGTGAAACTGAAAGATTTCCCCCTAGAATCAAAGTTAGGCAGAGATCTCCAGATCTTTGCTGATAAATTCAAGAAAGAGGTGAGTTATAAAATGACACTTGGAATTTCTCACTTTGTTTTGTATTCATGTTTATAATATTCTGTCAGATTTTTTCATAAAGAAAAGTAGCATATCATACAAGCATGTATTTATTGAAGGTATTGTATTTCTTAAAACAAAGGTTGTTGATTTTCTGTCTATATATATAGAGATGTATTGTGTATCGTTACAGCCTGCTGTCTATATATAGAGATGTATTGTGTATTGTTACAGCCTGCTGTCCATATATATATAGATGTGTATTGTTACAGCCTGCTGTCTATATATAGAGATGTATTGTGTATTGTTACAGCCTGCTGTCTATATATAGAGATGTATTGTGTATTGTTACAACCTGCTGTCTATATATAGAGATGTATTGTGTATTGTTACAGCCTGCTGTCTATATATAGAGATGTATTGTTACAGCCTGCTATCTATATATAGAGATGTATTGTGTATTGTTACAGTCTGCTGTCTATATATAGAGATGTATTGTGTATTGTTACAGCCTGCTGTCTATATATAGAGATGTATTGTGTATTGTTACAGCCTGCTGTCTATATATAGAGATGTTGTGTATTGTTACAGCCTGCTGTCTATATTTATAGATGTATTGTGTATTGTTACAGCCTGCTGTCTATATATAGAAATGTATTGTGTATTGTTCTTTTATGTATTGTGTATTGTTACAGTCTGCTGTCTATATATAGAGATGTATTATGTATTGTTACAGCCTGCTGTCTATATATAGAGATGTTGTGTATTGTTACAGCCTGCTGTCTATATATAGAGATGTATTGTTACAGCCTGCTGTCTATATTTATAGATGTATTGTGTATTGTTACAGCCTGCTGGCTATATATAGAGATGTATTGTGTATTGTTACAGTCTGCTGTCTATATATAGAGATGTATTGTTACAGGCTGCTGTCTATATATAGAGATGTTGTGTATTGTTACAGCCTGCTGTCCATATATATAGAGATGTTGTGTATTGTTACAGCCTGCTGTCTATATTTATAGATGTATTGTGTATTGTTACAGCCTGCTGTCTATATATAGAAATGTATTGTGTATTGTTACAGTCTGCTGTCTATATATAGAGATGTATTGTGTATTGTTACAGTCTGCTGTCTATATATAGAGATGTATTATGTATTGTTACAGCCTGCTGTCTATATATAGAGATGTTGTGTATTGTTACAGCCTGCTGTCTATATATAGAGATGTATTGTTACAGCCTGCTGTCTATATTTATAGATGTATTGTGTATTGTTACAGCCTGCTGGCTATATATAGAGATGTATTGTGTATTGTTACAGTCTGCTGTCTATATATAGAGATGTATTATGTATTCTTACAGCCTGCTGTCTATATATAGAGATGTTGTGTATTGTTACAGCCTGCTGTCTATATATAGAGATGTATTGTTACAGCCTGCTGTCTATATATAGAGATGTTGTGTATTGTTACAGCTTGCTGTCTATATTTATAGATGTATTGTGTATTGTTACAGCCTGCTGGCTATATATAGAGATGTATTGTGTATTGTTACAGTCTGCTGTCTATATATAGAGATGTATTATGTATTGTTACAGCTTGCTGTCTATATATATAGATGTATTATGTATTGTTACAGCCTGCTGTCTATATATAGAGATGTTGTGTATTGTTACAGCCTGCTGTCTATATTTATAGATGTATTGTGTATTGTTACAGCCTGCTGGCTATATATAGAGATGTATTGTGTATTGTTACAGTCTGCTGTCTATATATAGAGATCTATTATGTATTGTTACAGCTTGCTGTCTATATATATAGATGTATTGTTACAGCCTGCTGTCTATATATAGAGATGTTGTGTATTGTTACAGCCTGCTGTCTATATTTATAGATGTATTTTGTATTGTTACAGCCTGCTGGCTATATATAGAGATGTATTGTGTATTGTTACAGTCTGCTGTCTATATATAGAGATGTATTATGTATTGTTACAGCTTGCTGTCTATATATATAGATGTATTATGTATTGTTACAGCCTGCTGTCTATATATAGAGATGTTGTGTATTGTTACAGCCTGCTGTCTATATTTATAGATGTATTGTGTATTGTTACAGCCTGCTGGCTATATATAGAGATGTATTGTGTATTGTTACAGTCTGCTGTCTATATATAGAGATGTATTATGTATTGTTACAGCCTGCTGTCTATATATAGAGATGTATTGTGTATTGTTACAGCCTGCTGTCTATATATAGAGATGTATATTGTTACAGCCTGCTGTCTTTATATAGAGATATATTATGTATTGTTACAGCCTGCTGTCTATATATAGAGATGTTGTGTATTGTTACAGCCTGCTGTCCATATATAGAGATGTTGTGTATTGTTACAACCTGCTGTCTATATATAGAGATGTTGTGTATTGTTACAGCTTGCTGTCTATATATAGAGATGTATTGTGTATTGTTACAGCCTGCTGTCTATATATAGAGATGTTGTGTATTGTTACAGCCTGCTGTCTATATATAGAGATGTTGTGTATTGTTACAGCCTGCTGTCTATATATAGAGATGTTGTGTATTGTTACAGCCTGCTGTCTATATATAGAGATGTATTGTGTATTGTTACAGCCTGCTGTCTATATATAGAGATGTATTGTGTATTGTTACAGCCTGCTGTCTACGTTGAGATGCATTTTCCAGGAGAATATCCAATGAAACCTCCATTTGTTAGAATTTTGCGGCCAAGATTTAAATTTTTAACAGGTAAGAAATTTTAGAAATTACAAATGGATGGTTTTTGTGAACACTATTGATGTCACATAAAAAAACTTATACATATGAATATACTACGAGGAAATTTTAAAAAATAAATCAATTACATGTGATATAATTATTAAAAGAACCCACAGATAAGAAGTGTTTTTGAAAGTCCAGAATGAATCATTTTATATACAGCTTGCTATAAAGAGAGAAATATGTGCATTCTTGTTTGTTTCTTTACCAGGTCATGTGACCATAGGTGGTAGCATCTGCATGCAAATGTTGACGAATTCTGGGTGGACACCAACTAACGATATTGAGGTAATGCTGTCTGTCCTGTCAATAGGTTATGTTCAACAGTTACTGCTAAATGTTTCTGTCCACTTTCCTTTAAATCTGAATGATGTCACTGTCGGTAGGTAAAACTGAAGACTTTTACACAGTTCATTGAGCGTTTTACAAGAGTTAACTCCCCTTTCCTTTGTATTGTGTTTTCCCAACATCTTGTCTGATCTCGTTTTACCCACTCATGGTTCCTTTATAAAACCTTTTTAGACTTGAATTAAAGATATCTGCAAGAAATATGCCTGAGGTTAATTTTTTAATTACAGGGGTAATATTTTGTGGTTGTTGCGCTTTGTACACGTGTGTTGTATTTAGTGCATATCTATTCATAATCATGTGATAATATTGCATACAATTTCGTTTCATTTTTCACTGATCTTTAATGAACATGAGTATAATGAAATGAAATTTCATCGACTATCTCCTATACAGTGCATTACAAAATGCTTATAATGACAAACATATCTGTATAAATGTTGCCTAAGACAACTAGGTATTGGGCCATGAAGTGCTCTCAAAAAAATCCGTACACATAAAATAACAAGTATATCCTGAGGAAACTTGAACAACACACCTTTGATTTGCTTGTAGCATTTAACATGGCTGGTTATATGTGATTTAAAATCAGAAGGTTTGTCTCATAACAAACACTTTCATTTTAGGCAATCCTGGTCCAGATTCGATCCGAGATTATGAGTGACCCGAATGCCCAACTGGAGAGAAATGATTCAGATCGTCCCTATGAGGAACAGGAAGCGAGAGATGCATTCACACGTATGGTAAAAAGATACGGATGGTGAAAAAAAATATTACAAACTGTTTATTGACTCTTACCAAGAAGAAATTTAGACACATTCCAAATTACGAAGATATTTCATAGGTGTCTTCAGCCATCACTTGCTATAACTGTATCTGAAACACTAGGGAATCCAATTTCTAAACGTTTTTCTGATATGCTTTTGTGAGAAAGATTCATGACATTGAACTTGTGAGTTTTTAGGTCTTGCATCATTAGTAAGACTTTGCCATTGTAAACCTGTGGTTTTTATTGTAGATTAATTACACTGAGACTGAATTGGCACACATATTTTTGTAAAGAAATCCATAGACTTGCAGAGTGATTATTTGAATCTTTGCTGTAAGACGTAAGGGATCAGTCCATTTGAAAATAGGTGATGGTGATTATTTAGACAAAGCAACGATACAATGTTTTTGATATGTATGGTATTATTCTAAAATTAATCCTTGGGGAGGGGCAAACAGAAACACTGATTTATAGAAGGAAAGTGGGCTTATCACAAGACATTGTAAGTATTGAGTAGTTATCATTTCAGATGATTCTGCAAGAGATGTTGGTGGACTTATCATCAGACATATTGTCGGATCAATGTAATATTGTGGGATATTTATTGTTTGATTATAACATGTAAAGTAAAAGGGGAAACCATGAACATTCAGTAGTTGATAGTAACCTTGATGGAAAGTAATAGAAGGCCAGAAAAGGTCACACACATGGCTTCTATTATGTACGTCATAATGAAAAACACACACACTTAGATGAGGCGATATAATCGCTTTGTCTTACAGACTGCAGTATGACTGTAAGTGGTAGAAATTATTGATATATCTAAAAAACACCACGATCTACTGTAAAATCATTAAGTTTTATGAAAGTTTTATTTTGTTAAATTCGTTCATGCTTTCAACCATGAATTCATGTCAGCAAATCAGTAAGCTGTTAAAAATTTGACGAGAATTTCTAGTATTAGGTGATTTTTAGGGTGCTTTTTATCCATGAAATATATCTTATAAAATATTACAATAACACACAAGTTTCACATCTAATAAATATTTGTTGGTCCTCTAATAATGACCTTCAGTAAAGGTCAAAGGTCACACTTGATTCCATTTGAAGCAAATACCTGGTCGAAATCAAATAGAGGTCAAAGATGGATTGCTTTTGTAGTATGAATGGAAGTTCAGACATGGTTGTATTATCACGGTGGTTAGGACTCTGATTTTGATAGTTATATTTCTGTAGTCACAGTTGGGAGGGGTAGTGAAATTCTGTTCTGGTAACTAATATAGCAGCATTTATAAATCAAGATTTTATAAATAAAAATGTCCATTTTGTGATCTCTATAAGAAAGTCACTTCTACAGTATGTATATATATACTCTACAGATACACTATAGTATTTATATAGATACTCTACAAATACACTATAGTATTTATATAGATACTCTACAGATACACTACAGTATTTATATAGATACTCTACAGATACACTACAGTATGTATATAGATACTCTACAGATACACTATAGTATTTATATAGATACTCTACAGATATACTACAGTATGTATATAGATACTCTACAGATACACTACAGTATTTATATAGATACTCTACAGATACACTACAGTATGTATATAGATACTCTACAGATACACTACAGTATTTATATAGATACTCTACAGATACACTACAGTATGTATATACAGATACACTACGGTATGTATATATAGATACACTACAGTATATAGATACACTACAGTATATATATAGATACACTACAGTATATATATAGATACACTACAGTGTATAGATACACTACAGTATATATATAGATACACTACAGTATATAGATACACTACAGTATATAGATACACTACAGTATATAGATACACTACAGTATATATATAGATACACTACAGTATATATATAGATACACTACAGTGTATAGATACACTACAGTATATATATAGATACACTACAGTATATAGATACACTACAGTATATAGATACACTACAATATATATAGATACACTACAGTATATAGATACACTACAGTATATATATAGATATACTACAGTATATATATATAGATACACTACAGTATATATATAGATACACTACAGTATATATATAGATACACTACAGTATATAGATACACTACAGTATATATATAGATACACTACAGTATATAGATACACTACAGTATATATATAGATACACTACAGTATATAGATACACTACAGTATATATATAGATACACTACAGTATATATATAGATATATATAGATACACTACAGTATATATATAGATACACTACAGTATATATATAGATACACTACAGTATATAGATACACTACAGTATATATATAGATATATATAGATACACTACAGTATATATATAGATACACTACAGTATATAGATACACTACAGTATATATATAGATACACTACAGTATATAGATACACTACAGTATATATATAGATACACTACAGTATATATATATAGATACACTACAGTATATATATAGATACACTACAGTATATATATATAGATACACTACAGTATATATATAGATACACTACAGTATATAGATACACTACAGTATATATATAGATACACTACAGTATATATATAGATACACTACAGTATATATATATAGATACACTACAGTATATATATAGATACACTACAGTATATAGATACACTACAGTATATAGATACACTACAGTATATATATAGATACACTACAGTATATATATAGATACACTACAGTATATATATAGATACACTACAGTATATAGATACACTACAGTATATATATAGATACACTACAGTATATATATATAGATACACTACAGTATATATATATAGATACAGTACAGTATATAGATACACTACAGTATATATATAGATACACTACAGTATATCACTACAGTATATAGATACACTACAGTATATATATATACTACAGTATGTACATGTATATATGTCTCTTCATTGTTTACTTATATACATGTTACAGATATGTCAATAACTTTTTGATAAATTTTCTAAATTTTTAATTGAGTATTACATAAACATTTTTAATTTGGTAAAGTAAAAACATATATATATTTTTGTCACGAACCAAAGAAATGTACAATTAAACGTCCATTTTTATGAAGTTCCTTGTTTTCCTTATCGGCTGTGCTATTTAATACATAGAGCTGTACAAACCAGCATACTTGTCTTTATTAATTACTCACAATTTATAATTAATAACTGGTTTTATGACATTTATAAAGTAAGATAAATAGGATATAATGTATAGCTAACTATATTGAAATTCTGGAAAGGTATTTGTACTCCAAAGGTAGTAGTGTACTCAGAATGTGAGAAAAATCTACTCCCAGGGTAGCAGTGTACTCTAAAATGTGAGGAGTATCAGTCAGTACTCCCTGTCGTAGCAGTGTACTCAGAATGTGTACTCAGAATGTGAGGAGTATCTGTACTGATAGTGGTAGCAGTGTACTCAGAATGTTTGGAGTATCTGTACTGATAGTGGTAGTAGTGTACTCAGAATCTGTGGAGTATCTGTACTGATAGTGGTAGTAGTGTACTCAGAATCTGTGGAGTATCTGTACTGATAGTGGTAACAGTGTACTCAGAATCTGTGGAGTATCTGTACTGATAGTGGTAGTAGTGTACTCAGAATGTCTGGGGTATCTGTACTGATAGTGGAAGTAGTGTACTCAAAATGTCTGGAGTATCAGTGCTGATAGTGGTAGTAGTGTACTCAGAATGTGAGGAGTATCTGTACTGATAGTGGTAGCAGTGTACTCAGAATGTTTGGAGTATCTGTACTGATAGTGGTAGTAGTGTACTCAGAATCTGTGGAGTATCAGTACTGATAGTGGTAGTAGTGTACTCAGAATCTGTGGAGTATCTGTACTGATAGTGGTAGTAGTGTACTCAGAATCTGAGGAGTATCTGTACAGATAGTGGTAGTAGTGTACTCAAAATGTCTGGAGTATCACTAATGATAGTGGTAGTAGTGTACTCAGAATGTGAGGAGTATCTGTACAGATAGTGGTAACAGTATACTCAGAATATCTGGGGTATCTGTACTGATAGTGGTAGCAGTGTACTCAGAATGTCTGGAGTATCTGTACTGATAGTGGTAACAGTGTACTCAGAATGTCTGGAGTATCTGTACTGATAGTGGTAGCAGTGTACTCAGAATGTCTGGAGTATCTGTACTGATAGTGGTAACAGTGTACTCAGAATGTCTGGAGTATCTGTACTGATAGTGGTAGTAGTGTACTCAGAATGTGAGGAGTATCTGTACTGATAATGGTAGTAGTGTACTCAGAATGTCTGGAGTATCTGTACTGATGGTGGTAACAGTGTACTCAGAATGTCTGGAGTATCTGTACTGATAGTGGTAGTAGTGTACTCAGAATGTCTGGAGTATCTGTACTGATAGTGGTAGTAGTGTACTCAGAATGTCTGGAGTATCTGTACTGATAGTGGTAACAGTGTACTCAGAATGTCTGGAGTATCTGTACTGATAGTGGTAACAGTGTACTCAGAATGTCTGGAGTATCAGTACTGATAGTGGTAGTAGTGTACTCAAAATGTCTGGAGTATCAGTACTGATAGTGGTAGTAGTGTACTCAGAGTATGTGGAGTATCTGTACTGATAGTGGTAGTAGTGTACTCAGAATCTGAGGAGTATCTGTACTGATAATGGTAGTAGTGTACTCAGAATGTCTGGAGTATCTGTACTGATAGTGGTAGTAGTGTACTCAGAATGTCTGGAGTATCAGTACTGATAGTGGTAGTAGTGTACTCAGAATGTCTGGAGTATCTGTACTGATAGTGGTAGTAGTGTACTCAGAATATCTGGGGTATCTGTACTGATAGTGGTAGCAGTGTACTCAGAATGTCTAGAGTATCTGTACTGATAGTGGTAGTAGTGTACTCAGAATGTCTGGAGTATCAGTGCTGATAGCGGTAGT